TTTAAACTTTTTTTTTTTTTTTTTTGGTTTGCGTTTATTTTTTACAAATTTAATTTTTTATTTCTAACTAAATCCTAACCTGATTTCACTCTCTGAAATTCGTAATTTCTGCTATCAAGAATGAACTTGTTCAGACCTCTCAGCCATAACATTAATTCTTAATTAAAATAAGATTTTTCCAAGTGCTATTTTCGCAATTCCAGTGTTACACATTCATTCCAATGCTATGGCTCCATAAATTAGTGGAGTCGCCCCCAGGTGAAGCCAACGGTCGAAATAAACAGCGATAAGCTCTAATGCCGTTTGTTTTACAATTTAGATTCGCGCATTATCGATAGCCGTTGGAGGCATATAATGGGTCGACAGACCTTGGGCCACCCTTAGTTCAAAATGACCAGCTGGGCTAGCATTGCGTTTGTTCTGGGCCTGGGCCTGTTGGCCGTCGATGCGTCTGCTCCCTGGTGGCAGACGGCCTCCTTCTACCAGATCTATCCGCGCTCCTTCAAGGACAGCGACGGCAATGGCATTGGCGACCTGAACGGAGTCACCGAGAAACTGGAGTACCTGAAGGAGATTGGCGTGACAGCGACGTGGCTGTCGCCGTTCCTGCGCTCGCCCATGGCGGACTTTGGATATGATATTTCGGACTTCAAGGAGGTCGACGAGCTCTTCGGCACCATGGAGGACTTTGAGAACCTGGTGGCACGTGCCAAGCAGCTGAACGTGAAAATCATTTTGGACTTTGTGCCCAATCATTCCAGCGATGAGTGCGACTGGTTCATACGCTCGGCTGCCGGAGAGGAGAAGTACAAGGACTACTACATCTGGCATCCGGGCTTCGTTGAGAACGGCGTACGCAGGCCGCCCAGCAACTGGGTGAGCGTGTTCCGTGGCTCAGCCTGGGAGTGGAACGAGCAACGCCAAGAGTACTATCTGCATCAGTTCCACAAGAAGCAGCCGGACTTCAACTTCCGCAATCCCGTCGTGCGCGAGGAAATGAACAATGTGCTGCGCTTCTGGCTGGAGAAGGGTGTCGATGGCTTCCGCGTGGACGCCATCTACCACGCCTTTGAGGTTGAGGCCGATGAGAACGGCAACTACCCGGACGAGCCGCGCAACGAATGGACCAACGATCCCGATGAGTACGGCTACACCCACAAGATCTATACGGTCGACCAGCCCGAGACCCCACACTTGGTCTACGAGTGGCGTGAGATTCTGGATCAGTTCCAAAGGGAGCACGGTGGCGACGAGCGGTAAGTTGAGGCACGAATTTGAGGAAGTGGAGATTAGGTAATCTCTAATCCATCTACTATATTGCATGCAGCATACTGATGGTGGAGACCTGGTCGCCCATTGATATTGTGATGCACTACTATGGCAACGAGACGGCCGAGGGTGCACAAATCCCCTTCAACTTCCAGCTGATAACTAATCTGAACGCGGACTCCGATGCCTATCACTACGAGTACTTGATCAACAACTGGCTATCGAAAATGCCGAGCGGCAAGAGCGCCAACTGGGTGGTAAGTGCGAAGTGACGCTAACAAAGGCGCTAAGCCATGTGACTAATCGCATACGAAATCAATTGCCTGATACGGCCCCACATAGATTGGCAATCACGATAAGAACCGCGTGGGCTCCCGCTTCGGTGCCGAGCGCATTGATCTGTTCAACATTTTGCTGCTGACGCTGCCCGGCTGCAGCATTACCTACCAGGGCGAGGAGCTGGGCATGCTCGACGGCTACGTGTCGTGGGAGGATACGGTCGATCCGCAGGCCTGCAATGGCCACGAGGCGGACTACATGTGGAACTCGCGTGATCCGGCTAGGACGCCCATGCACTGGACAAATGGCAAGCTGGCTGGCTTCACCGCCGGCAGCGAGACCTGGCTGCCCGTCGCCGCGGACTATGCCGAGCGCAATGTGCAGACGGAGCGCGGCATTCCGCTCAGCCATCTGAACGTTTACAAGCGCCTGCAGCAGCTGCGCCAGGAGCCGGCCATCCAGCAGGGCGCTGCCGAAATCAAGGCTGTCAATGGCTACGTCTTGGCGGTCGAACGGTGAGTGAAATCATCTGATAAAATTTACAGTTTATTCACTACAACATTTATGAATTTCTCCAACAGCTATCTGAGTGGCAATTACGTGTACATCTCTCTGCTCAACATCTTCGAGCACATCGAGAATGTGAACCTGAACGATGTGTTCAGCGGCCTGCCCAGCACCTTCCAGTACGCCCTGGTCACCGAAAAGTCCATCAGGCAGCTGGGCGACAAGGTCTCCAGCAGCAGCATCACCCTGATGCCCTACGAGTCCGTTGTCCTGCGCTCCACGACAACCATCTGAGCCAACGGCTGGACTATCTGCTGTTAGCTATCGTATGCACAATAAAAAACAAATATTGTTTATCTCGATGTGATTTATGTCTGTGGACTTTTCTTTCAACTGATTAGCGATTATGATTTTGAGTCATAAAAATCATGCTGTCGTCGATAGCGCTGCAATGTGAGTTTATATTCATATAAACAGTTATATGTATTCATTTGCGTGTGTGTATGTATGGATGTGTGATTCAGTCAAACCGCAAATAAAAGCAAACAAGCGATAGATATCGAATTGTAATATACCCTGCGATCATATGCGATTATTGTGGGTGGCTTTCGTGAGAATCGTCTATAGAGGAGAGCTTTTCAATTTTTAAAAAAATATTTTAATGCAGTAATGTTGTAAGCAAACCTTAATCGCAAATGAATACAATATATTCATCAAAAGATTTAAATATACTTAAAATTAAAAAAATAAATAAATAAATAAATGATAATATTATTTTATAAAAATATTTTGAAAAAAAAAAATATAAGTTTTAAAATAATCTTAATCCTTAAATTTAACATTTAAAAAAAAAGTAACAATGATTTACTTATATATAAAGATTCTAATATTAAATAAAATAAAGAAATATTAAACACTTTCAAAATTATTTCCACCCAAATTTCTTAAAAGGTTCCCAAAATAAATATGCTCTTTTCAGCATCTAGTTTCGCGGTATAAAAATAAAAGCCAATCAAACGATTAAAAATTGTCAGCTACTGTGTAGCAAACAAATTGTGTGAGGGAGAGACTGCGATAAGAGAGGAAAAGCAAATCCGAACAAAGAAAGATTGAAAGCTTTCGTTACATTTGCATGCACAATGGGCGCGAAATAAATGCTCACACGTCAAATTAGTCTATAATTAAATGAGAAAGATAAAAAACAAATTAAAATGCAATATTGTTTATATTATTGCATTTGTTAAATATAATCTGGGTGTCAGGCATTTTTACAGAATTTATATTTGTCAACGCCGAAGGCCACTGCAATCATAGCTATTAAAAATTAAATAAGTTAATTGTTTGGAACTATTGAAATACAGATAATAAAAAAAATACGGCATGTAAACAATTAAGCTACAAATTTGTGGGATTTAATAGAATTAAAAACTAAAATTGAGTTCGTATATAGAAATCTAAGATCATCTTATACATGCAAAACAAAATTTTGTTTTTTGCATGTAAATAACTTAACTAGTTTTGGGAGAATGAAATAAAACAAAAATTTATTTGCATAGATTTGGCGTAACGTCGTTTAGATCTGCTCTATACACTTATGTACATTTTGAAACTATAATATAAA